GTTGTTGGCTCTGAGAAGTGCCTTTGTTTGTTCTGCTGTGTAGTAATTACAGTTGCTGTTTTATTTACGTATTTAAGTCATTCTATAAGAGGTTGGTATCAGGATCAATGCATCTGAATACTGAATATTGTATTAATGTTGGTAGAATTACCGACAATATGTTAGGTAAAATGACACAATTGCAACTAACGTGACATTTTACTGTGGCAACGTTTCGCTCTCCAGGAGCTTTATCAAGCTGGTAAAACTTTCGATTTGGCTCTTCTTGCTGAATAAAGCAAGCTATAATTTGTGTACCTGGAGTTTACCTGGAGAGAGTTCCGGGGGTCAACGCCCCCGCGGCCCGGTCTGTGACCAGGCCTCCTGGTGGATCAGAGCCTGATCAACCAGGCTGTTGCTGCTGGCTGCACGCAAACCAACGTACGAGCCACAGCCCGGCTGATCAGGAACCGACTTTAGGTGCTTGTCCAGTGCCAGCTTGAAGACTGCCAGGGGTATGTTGGTAATCCCCCTTATGTGTGCTGGGAGGCAGTTGAACAGTCTCGGGCCCCTGACACTTATTGTATGGTCTCTTAACGTGCTAGTGACACCCCTGCTTTTCATTGGGGGGATGGTGCATCGTCTGCCAAGTCTTTTGCTTTCGTAGTGAGTGATTTTCGTGTGCAAGTTCGGTACTAGTCCCTCTAGGATTTTCCAGGTGTATATAATCATGTATCTCTCCCTCCTGCGTTCCAGGGAATACAGGTTTAGAAACCTCAAGCGCTCCCAGTAATTGAGGGTGTTTTATCTCCTTATGCGCGCCGTGAAAGTTCTCTGTACATTTTCTAGGTCGGCAATTTCACCTGCCTTGAAAGGTGCTGTTAGAGTGCAGCAATATTCCAGCCTAGATAGAACAAGTGACCTGAAGAGTGTCATCATGGGCTTGGCCTCCCTAGTTTTGAAGGTTCTCATTATCCATCCTGTCATTTTTCTAGCAGATGCGATTGATACAATGTTATGGTCCTTGAAGGTGAGATCCTCCGACATAATCACTCCCAGGTCTTTGACGTTGGTGTTTCGCTCTATTTTGTGGCCAGAATTTGTTTTGTACTCTGATGAAGATTTAATTTCCTCATGTTTACCATTCTGAGTAATTGAAATTTCTCATCGTTGAACTTCATATTGTTTTCTGCAGCCCACTGAAAGATTTGGTTGATGTCCGCCTGGAGCCTTGCAGTGTCTGCAATGGAAGACACTGTCATGCAGATTCGGGTGTCATCTGCAAAGGAAGACACGGTGCTGTGGCTGACATCCTTGTCTATGTCGGATATGAGGATGAGGATCAAGATGGGAGCTAGTACTGTGCCTTGTGGAACAGAGCTTTTCACCGTAGCTGCCTCGGACTTTACTCTGTTGACGACTACTCTCTGTGTTCTGTTTGTGAGGAAATTATAGATCCATCGACCGACTTTTCCTGTTATTCCTTTAGCGCGCATTTTGTGCGCTATTACGCCATGGTCACACTTGTCGAAGGCTTTTGCAAAGTCTGTATATATTACATCTGCATTCTTTTTGTCTTCTAGTGCATTTAGGACCTTGTCGTAGTGATCCAGTAGTTGAGACAGACAGGAGCGACCTGTTCTAAACCCATGTTGCCCTGGGTTGTGTAACTGATGGGTTTCTAGATGGGTGGTGATCTTGCTTCTTAGGACCCTTTCAAAGATTTTTATGATATGGGATGTTAGTGCTATTGGTCTGTAGTTCTTTGCTGTTGCTTTACTGCCCCCTTTGTGGAGTGGGGCTATGTCTGTTGTTTTTAGTAACTGAGGGACGACCCCCGTGTCCATGCTCCCTCTCCATAGGATGGAAAAGGCTCGTGATAGGGGCTTCTTGCAGTTCTTGATGAACACAGAGTTCCATGAGTCTGGCCCTGGGGCAGAGTGCATGGGCATGTCATTTATCGCCTGTTCGAAGTCATTTGGCGTCAGGATAACATCGGATAGGCTTGTGTTAATCAAATTTTGTGGCTCTCTCATAAAAAATTAATTTTGATCTTCAACTCTCAGTCTGGTTAGCGGCTTGCTAAAAACTGAGTCATATTGGGACTTGAGTAGCTCACTCATTTCCTTGCTGTCATCTGTGTAGGACCCATCTTGTTTAAGTAGGGGCCCAATACTGGACGTTGTTCTCGATTTTGATTTGGCATAGGAGAAGAAATACTTTGGGTTTCTTTCGATTTCATTTATGGCTTTTAGTTCTTCCCGCGATTCCTGACTCCTAAAGGATTCTTTTAGCTTAAGTTCGATGCTTGCTATTTCTCTGACCAGCGTCTCCCTGCGCATTTCAGATATATTGACCTCTTTTAGCCGCTCTGTTATTCTTTTCCGTCGCCTGTAAAGGGAGCGCCTGTCTCTTTCTATTTTACATCTACTCCTCCTTTTTCTTAGAGGAATAAGCCTTGTGCATACATCGAGTGCTACCGAGTTAATCTGTTCTAGGCATAAGTTTGGGTCTGTGTTGCTTAGTATATCTTCCCAGCTTATATCGGTTAGGACTTGGTTTACTTGGTCCCACTTTATGTTTTTGTTATTGAAGTTGAATTTGGTGAATGCTCCCTCGTGACTAGTCTCATTTTGTCGGTCTGGGGCTCCACGCATACATGTCTGAACCTCAATTATGTTGTGATCTGAGTATATTGTTTTTGATATGGTGACATTTCTTATCAGATCATCATTGTTAGTGAAGATGAGGTCTAGTGTATTCTCCAGTCTAGTAGGCTCTATTATTTGCTGGTTTAAATTGAATTTTGTGCAGAGATTTAAAAGCTCGTGTGAGTGTGAGTTTTCATCAGAGCTGCCTCCTGGTGTTATTACTGCAACAATATTATTTGCTATATTCCTCCATTTTAGGTGCCTTAAGTTGAAATCCCCCAGGAGCAAGATGTTGGGTGCAGGAGCTGGAAGATTTTCCAGACAGTGGTCAATTTTTAACAGCTGTTACAAAAGTACTAGCTTGGTACCTCAAAGTGGGATGTCTCAGGATTCCCTATGTCTACTGGCTGCATCCTAAGTGCCTTCTGAACTTGTATTATGGATGGTTTTGTGTCCATGGTTTAACAGCACCCTGTGGTCTTGAGGACTGAGTTTGTTAGACAATTTGGCTATTGACAAATTAACATGGACAGGAGTAAGTTGGTGACTTGAGACAATTGGATTACGTAAGGCAGGCCATCAAATGAAGGAAACAGTAAAACATAGCCATGTGTGTGTGTGAGCATCCAGTGAGGACCTGATTGTATTAGTTCCTTGAGGACAGTGTTCATGGCATGCCCACACGAAAAGCATGTCCAGGGGAAACCTAAAAAAAAATGTAATCACTAATATTAAGTGGACAAATTTACCTAGAAATTGTCTGTAATCATGTGCCCAAATCTTTCACTCAACAGTGGAAAGTTTTTATGCAAAACAGTGCTCCTTGTCACACTGTTCAATCAGTGGCTTCATGGCTGTGAAGTACCATTCTTTGATGACTGGCGAAGGAACTCCCCAAACGTGAACCCCCCATTGAGAACCTCTGGACTGAGGTTAAAAAAATCTACTAGGGAAAGGATATCAGCCCACTCTCACACCTTGAGGATGCCATCCACAGGTCTTGAAAGAATTTACCACATGAAACCTTGAAGGATGCTTGTTAACTACTTCCTAGATGGTTGAAGGATGTCCTACAATGCCAAGAATAATCTATTTTGTGGTTGTCATGTTAGAGAAAGTCACCGTTCTTTAATAATGAGCACCGTAGGTGAAATGTTATAATAAAAGACTTCTTCTTTTCTTTCAACAAACCGGCCATATCCCACCGAGGCAGGGTGGCCTAAAAAGAAAACCGAAAGTTTCTCTTTTTAAATTTATTAATATATACAGGAGAAGGAGTTACTAGTCCCTTGCTCCTGGCATTTTAGTCGCCTTTTATGACACGCATGGCTTACGTAGGAAGAATTCTGTTCCACTTTCCCATGGAGATAAAAGACTCATTTTGCTAATACATGTACATGTAGTATATCTTTTTAACCACTTGCTGGCTATATGATACTCAAACTAGTCATAGTGATGGACAGCTTCATTAAGGACCTTCTACAACACAATGAGGATTACGTGACTCTGTGTATTTGGTGAAGATCATGCTAATGAAGTGTCATTAAATTATGATTTGTACTTTTAAAGGCCCTTTGCAGGATTCAAGCTAAACCTCCAGGTATTGCAAGCCTAATCTAAATTCGCTCCTCTTGATATCATGTGAAATATTCCACTATTGTACTGTTTTTCTTAAGTCTGTTTTCTTGCATCACTTAAATGTAATTGCCTACCTGTTTAGTTATTTTTGGGTGAAGGGAATTATAGCATTTGGTCCTGCCTCATTTTGACTGAATGGTATGATACTTTGTCATACACATCTACTTCATTTCCACTCTTATAGCAGGGTGTTTTTTGGTATGTAATGCCATGTCTGTAGAATTTTACACTTTCAAAATTAGAAGCACAATTCTCTAACCCATAGGAAGAAACTAAAGGATTTTCACTTGATCAGGTAGTCTTGTTTTATCTGGTTATCAATCTTCTCAGGCCAAAAAAGTATGTGCTTCTGTGTAAATGACCCCTTCATTAATTTTTTCTGTATTATGTCTTATTTATAATTTATTTTGTGATTATGGTTTAGTCCATAGGCTTAAATAAATTAAATTAAATATGAAATTTAATATTGTGGAATTTTTTAATTTGTATTTTGTGTATGAAACATACACTTAGAAAAGTGATCGATGAGAGTAGATATTTGAGGTAAACTTTTACCTTTCCAACTGCCTTATGGTAACTTTAAGGTTAGTATTAGATGTTCATGTTTTTAGGATAGTAATATCTTAAACATCATCCTTTGCTGTTTTAAGAAACAGCAAAGTCTGAATTGATAGCGGTCATCAATGATTATCAAATAAAATATGTGGACAGAACTAAAGCAACTTCCAAAGCTTAATGTGTACATTTTTATTATAAAAACTAGTTTACATATACAGGTTATTCAATAAGTGGCCTTCAGTCAAAAGCCGTTGTATCTGGTTTAGCCTTCAGGCGACGATGAGCCCTCCATTCAACACTACAGAATGTCAATGTACCTATGGTAGCAAAAACCACTAAGACTGCAAGATGCCAGTATAGTTCAAATACACTTGAGTAAAAGAAACAGGCAGCAGCTGAGAGGGATTGAGTGAACTTGAAAAGTGCAAAAGCAGGTCCAGAATTATCTTCATAAACAGTTCCAAGTATGGAGTAAATCTGAGTGTTGAAACAAGCATCTCCAAAGCCCAACAAGAAACTGCACATCATGGCAATCACTTCACTGAAATGAAATGATGAAAGTGAAATTAAAACTTATACAAATCATTAATTTATTTTAATACAAACAACTGTCTGTACTCACTCAGAGAATGATGTACAGCAATAAGAAGTAATGTGATTTCCTTATTAACACCATAAATGCACAGACATAACACATAAATGCACAGACATAAACACTATATGCACAACTTGTTTGGTGAAGCGAGGCTCACCAGTAGTGTATGTGGCATTTACGATCACACAGGTAAATGAGTAAAATCTGATAACCAGACATGCACACATGTAGAAACAAAAGGGAAAGAGAGGGAGAATGAAGAGAGGCAGAATAAAAAAAAAAGCAAGAGCAAGCAATGAGTACACATATGCAACTTTCTACATCATTTATGAAGTCAATTATGTTTACTGCCTACATGTGACTGTATTTATGCCCGAGTTACTTTTCACTGAATATTGTATAAGCTTTTGGATAATTCTTTGAAAATAGTGTCACTGGCTACAAACCTAAGAAATCATATATGTAGTTTGGAGTTGGAACCATGCCTATTAAATTATATATGAGTAAAGAACAAAAAGGCACAATACCATGCCAGAAACAATACGCAGATAACCAGCATATCGGAGAGAGAGGCTTATGACAACGTTTTGGTCCGACTTGGACCATTTACAAAGTCACATTAACACCAAAGAGTGAGGGAGCCAGTATATATAGGCAAGAGAGACAGGGATGGGTACTGGCTCCCTCACTCTTTTGTGTTAGTGTGACTAAGTGGTTCAAGTCAGACTGAAACATCATCATAAACTTCTCTCTCCTATGTGCAGGTTATTTGCATACATTATTTTATTTTTATTAACACACTGGCTGATTCCCACCAAGGCAGGGTGGCCCGAAAAAGAAAAAACTTTCACCATCATTCACTCCATCACTGTCTTGCCAGAAGGGTGCTATACACTACAGTTTTTAAACTGCAACATTAACACTCCTCCTTCAGAGTGCAGGCACTGTACTTCCCATCTCCAGGACTCAAGTCCGGCCTGCCGGTTTCCCTGAATCCCTTCATAAATGTTACTTTGCTCACACTCCAACAGCATGTCAAGTATTAAAAACCATTTGTCTCCATTCACTCCTATCAAACACGCTCACGCATGCCCGCTGGAAGTCCAAGCCCCTCGCACACAAAACCTCCTTTACCCCCTCCCTCCAACCTTTCTTAGGCCGACCCCTACCCCGCCTTCCTTCCACTACAGACTGATACACTCTTGAAGTCATTCTGTTTCGCTCCATTCTCTCTACATGTCCGAACCACCTCAATAACCCTTCCTCAGCCCTCTGGACAACAGTTTTGGTAATCCCGCACCTCCTCCTAACTTCCAAACTACGAATTCTCTGCATACATGAGTGTTTAATATTTGCTTAAGTACAGTGGGTGACAGAGAATGTTCTAAAAATTATTCATTAAGATTTTATGTTGGTAATGAATCTGTGAAGCATATGATAAATGATTCGAGAGCATAGACTGCAGCTATGGTATAAACAAAATTGTAATGATACCTGAGACCTGCCAATGTATGCTCATAGGATTTGTGACCAAGTGGAATAATTACAGCAAAAATTAACAGTCTAATTTTAACTAGTTGGCTTAATTTCAACTACCTCGTGTTATTAGAAACATGATAATTTACAGTGCACAGATCTCAGCAGAGAGAGTGTAAAAATTATAGGGGAATAAGTCTGTTGAGTTCTCCATGGGGAAGTAGAACAGAATTCTTCCTCCGTAAGCTATGTGTGTCGTAAAAGGCAACTAAAATGCCAGGAGCAAGGGGCTAGTAACTTCCTCTCCTGCATATATTACTAAATTTAAAAAGAGAAACTTTTGTTTTTCTTTCTGGACCACCCTGCCTTGGTGGGATACGGCTGATTTGTTGAAAGAAAAGAAAGAAAAGTCTGTTGAGTATACCTGGTAAAGTGATTGGTAGAGTTATTATTGAAAGAGTTAAGAGTAAGAGAGTAAGCAGGACAGCAGATGAACAAGGCTTTAGAAAGGGTAGGGGGTGTGTAGACCAAGTGTTTGCAGTGAAACATATAGGTGAACAGTATTTAGACAAGAGTAGAGAGGTTTTTGTGGCATTTATGGATTTGGAAAAGGCGTACGATAGGGTGGATAGCGGGGTAATGTGGGAGATGTTGCAACTGTATGGAATAGGAGGTAGGTTATTGAAAGCAGTGAAGAGTATTTACGAGGATAGTGAGGCTCAGGTTCAAGTATGCAGGTAAGAGGGAGATTATCTCCCATGGTTGTTCAATATATTTATAGATGGAGTTGTAAGAGAAGTGAATGCTCGGGTGTTGGCAAGAGGTGTAGGGTTAAAAGATGAAGAATCTAACACAAAGTGGGAGTTGTCACAGTTGCTCTTTGCTGATGACACTGTGCTTTTGGGAGATTCTGAAGAGAAGTTGCAGAGGTTGGTTGATGAGTTTGATAGGGTATGTAAAAGGAAATTAAAAGTGAATATAGGAAAGAGTAAAGAGATGAGGATAACAAAAAAAATTAGGTAATGGAAGACTGAATATTAGATTGGAGGGAGAGAGTATGGAGGAGGTGAATGTATTCAGATATTTGGGAGTGGATGTGTCAGCAGATGGGTCTATGAAAGATGAGGTAAATCAAAGAATTGTTGAGGGAAAAAAGGTGAGTGGTGCTCTGAGGAGTCTATGGAGACAAAGAACTTTCTCCATGAAAGCAAAGAGGGGAATGTATGAGAGTATATTTATACCAACGCTCTTGTATGGGTGTGAGGCATAGGTTGTGAATGTTGTTACAAGGAGAAGGCTGGAGGCAGTGGAGATGTCACGTCTGAGGGTAATGTGTGGTGTGAATATAATGCAGAGAATCTATAGTTTGGAGATTAGGAGGAGGTGTGGGATTACCAAAACTATTATCCAGGGGGCTGAGGAGGGGTTATTGAGATGGTTTGGACATGTAGAGAGGATGAAACTAAGTAGAATGACTTCAAGAGTGTATAAATCTGTAGTGGAGGGAAGGCAGGGTAGGGGTTGGCCTAGGGAAGGTTGGAGGGAGGAAGTAAAGGAGGTTTTGTGTGTGAGGGGCTTGGACTTCCAGCAAGTGTGCATGAGCATGATAGAGGGGAGCAAATGGATACAAATGATTTTTAGGACTTGACATGCTCTTGGAGTGTAAGCAAGGTAACATTAATGAAGGAATTCAGGGAAACTGGCAGGCCAGATTTGATTCCTGGAGATGGTAAGTACAGTGCTGGCACTCTGAAGGAGGGGTGTTAATGTTGCAGTTGTATAACTGTAGTGTAAGCATGCCTCTGGCAAGACAGTGATGGAGTAAATGATAATGAAAGTTTTTTCTTTTTCGGGCCACCCTGCCTTGGTGGGATCGACCGATGTGTTAAAAAAAAAAAAAAGATCTGAGCAGAAGAATATGATGTGATGGTTCTAACACATGGTGATAAATCTAAAAATAAGGATAGGTTGACTTTCAAATTGTGCACATCACCATCTTCATCTTATTCTGGGCCCAAAATCCTGTGGTACTATAATGTACCTAATGTACAGTATGAAAATGAAGCTGAATTTTAATTTTTAAGGAAAGTAAGTTGCACTACTGTACATATTACAGCACTCTGCAGTAACTATATCTGCCAGATTATCTGGCAGGATCTCCTTCAATATGTTTGTTCAAAAACATTCCTTCCAATGTGAATTAACCCTTAAACAGTCCAAACGTATATATATACATTCTCTCGCGTAGCGCCCCAAACGTATATATATCGTGTCATTACGATTTCGTGAGCCATGTTGACGGCTTTGAGGGGACTTGAACTAGAGTTCGTTACGGCCATGCTAGCGGGAGATTTGTCTGTAAAAGCTTGCATTTGTGGACACAGTGGTGCCTATACTAACCTTCCTATGGTGTAGAAATACACCTAGTTGGACGAATCTTATTGAAGCTAGCTGGCCCAGTGGCTAATGCGACAGTCTGGAGTTTTGAGACTCTGACCGCGGGTTCAAATCCCGCCCGTGGTATGGTTTGTTTGCAATCGTGTCATTACGATTTCGTGAGTCATATACGTTTCTTTTGTCATTCATTCAACATTGCCACAATAGGCCTGAGTCGCCTAGACATGAGAGAATGAGTGTGTGCACTCAGTGTGTGCCATATGAAAAAAATTGGGGATGCCTGGGTACCACATGCTCTTTTTTCCTATAAAAAAAAAAAAGATTTTTTTTCTCAAAATCTTCGAGGAGCTGCACAGGTGAATGTATATATGCATGCGTTTGGACCGTTTAAGGGTTAAAAGCCCTCTCCTGACTAAAAGTGAAACCTACTAGAAATACCTGTTTTTTTTTTTTAACACTGGCTGTCTCTTACTGTTGTAGGGTGACCAAACAAAGAAGAAAACACTTTCACTATCACTTATTCAACACTGTCTTTCCAGATGGGCGCTGACATTACAGTTCCAATGACCCTCCAAACCGCAACATCCCAACCCCCCTTCAGAGTGCAGGCACTGACTTCTCAAGTTTGGTTCCTATCCACCTCATAACTCTAAATGCTAGTTCTCTTGGAATCATGGCATGTGCTCACTGAACATTTCACCAAAAAAATAATAAACTTCCCAAATTTCTTTTGTTTCATAACACACTGCTTTACTCCATCAAATATTTCAGACTATTATAGTTGTAATCCATAATGATAACAAAGCTTTCGAATTACCTACTAACAACTGTCACAATGAAAATAGCCTAATGCACAGATACTATAAGCTGTAATAAATTTTGCATTGAGTATATTTCAAAACAACATTCATTTATTAAATTAAGATATATCTTATCACACAAGCTGTGAATTTCTTTATTTTATATTTTACACAATTTTTTTTATTAAACAGATAATAACAATGAAGAACTATACCTTGGCTGACCAAGTGGCAAAAATGAGGGGCTTTTTGTATTCGTCAAAGGAGATTCTGTTGGCAAATTCATGAATATGAGGAAGAAGCAGACCATATGTATCAGATATCCCAAAAGCACAATGGGATCTCGACCATATTTAACAGTTTTAGAACCAAAGATGCCAAATACTCCTCCTCCTGAAAAAATGAAAAGAATTTGGTATAAGAATTATGAAAATTTATGTTACAGAAAAATGATGAAAAAATTACAGAAAATGTGAATGTATTTAAATAAATATGGAGGCCTGGTCTAGAACCAGGCCACAGGGGCAGTGACCCCTGGAAGTGACTCCGGGTAATCTCTCGGGTATAATTTTTTTTTGTAACATTTGCATGTAATCTTGCTGAAACTTCTGTTATGTCATGTGTACTGTAATTAGAAAGGTCTGATTTTGTTTTTGTAACATACTGGCTGTCTCCCACTGAAGTAGGGTGATTCGTAAAAGGAAATACATTTGCTATCATTCATTCAATAGCTGTCTTGCTAGAAGTGTGCAGGCATCAAAAGTCAAATGACTCCAAACTGCAACATCCTCACATCTCATTCAGAGCATAGGCACTGTATTTCCCACCTCCAAGACTCATATCTGGTTAACTTTTTTTCCTGAATTTCTTCATGTATGCTGCCTTGCTCACACTCCAAGAGCATGTCAAGCCATAAAAATCACTTATCACCATTCGCTTCACTCTAACACATGCACACAAGTGCCTAGCACTCATAATCTCATTTATTCCCTCCCTCCAACCTTTCCTGGAATAAACCCCAGGTTTATGCACCTTTTGGGTAACCCTAATCTGCTCCATCCTCTCTAAATACCCAAACCACCTCAACAACCCTTCCTCAGACATATGAATTATACTTTTGGTAACCTCACTGTCTTCTCACTTTTATGCTTCAAATTCTTTGCATAATATTCACACAACACATTGCTCTCAAGCATGACATCTTCATTACTTCCACTTCCATCTTGCTACAGGCAGTGGAGATGTCACACAGTAGTGGAGTCAGGATTTCAGTTTGGGGGAAAGGAAAGGGAAAGGGGGTGCTTAACCCTTTAACTGTCCAAATGTAGATCTACGTTCTCTCACCCAACGCTCCAAATATTTTTGAAAAAAAAAAAAAAAATTACAGAAATAAAGAGTGCATATTTCTATGTGACACAGAATAAAAAAAAGTTTTAGGGTCAGTACTTACCAAGATATGAGCCTGCGAAGTTGGCACTTGATGATCACCTGGCGGCAACATGTAGTGCTGCCACTTGCAGAAGTGTTGTGGATATACCTTTTTTTTCTCGTTTTTATATTATTTTGTAAAAGTTTTATGTTCTGATAATTACAGTTTATAGTAGTTTTTGTGATTTCATAGCCAATCTTTGTTCTGACACTAATATTAGGTACTGAAATTGTACTCAAATTGTCACAAACACAATGACAGATGAACATTTACACCTGCCTAGGTCATTTACTATTGTCTGTGAATATATACAAAGTATTTATAGGTCCCAGCAATGTTTTGGATACATGGGAGTGTATGTATAATAATAATAATAATAATAATAATAATAATAATAAAAGTTCCCTTCAAGCATGATGTAAGACAAGTGTCAGTCCACTGCTGACCGTGCAGTGTTGACATCTGATGAGCGTCCATGGCCCTGGAGTTATTTGTTTTCACTGTTACACATAAACATGTCTGTCTGTCTAGTTCTCTGTCTATGTCTGTCTATCTAGGTCTCTCTCTATCTTTCCATCTAGCTCTCCATCTGTCTGTCTTGCTCCGTTTATCTCTGTCTCTTCTTATCTGTCTCTGTCTGCTTGTCTCTCTGTCTCTGTGCTTGTCTCTCTGACTGTCTCAGAGAGAGCCACTCGTGAACCAACAGGTATTACACATGACTGCATCGTCATGTCTGGTTCCTGAGCAAGTGTAAACACGTATTACTTGCCAGTCATGCATATTGCGCATTATATTGAAAAGCACAGTATAGCACTTTGTCTGGATTTTTGGGGTTATCCTAGGTAATTTACACTATGTATAATTGTCTTTACGTGTACCTGTGAGACAGAGATAAACAGAGACAGACAGACAGAGACAGATATAGATACAGACAGACAGATGGGGACAGAGACAGCCAAAGTCAATCAGCCAGCCAGCCAGCCAAGCAGCCACCCAGCCAGCCAGCCTACCACACACGTATAACACATTGGAGGATTGTTTCTCGTTACTTAGAGAATAGGTTATAAGACATTCTGGCAGGATGACACTACTAGTGGTACCAAAATTAAAAGTGTTGCACAAATGTTGCACATAGGTTATTATTGAGGTTTTTTATACTTCCTCGACCACCTGTGGCCACATCCACCTCAGAGCCACTAAACTCGGGGTTAACATCACTTTCCTCTTAAAATGGGAGTATTAATATTACATGACATCAGTGAATCCCAGGTGTTTGCCATGCTGTTTGCTCTAGCTGGCACTCAATTGAACTGGTGCTCCCATAGGGTACTAAGTGGTCCCAGATTGTTTTAATACTGCGCACATCAAGTGTTAAGACCCATTCTATGCTGACCAGGCATCTCAGGCCAATCACGCCAAATTTGGAGGCTAGAAAAATAAAACGTAATCTACATTTGGAGCACTAGGGGTAAGAATGTAGAACTATGTTTGGACAGTTAACGGGTTAAGTTAGTATTTCAATCTTGGCTCAAAAATCATAAGCTACTCAAAAAATAAAAGAAATTGTTTTTAAAAACGTGATTTTTGCAGGTATGTGCATTTCTTAACCCCTTGATTGTCGCAACCCAAATCCTGAGGTGTCTCCTGGTGTCGCAAAATTTCAGAAAAAACAAAAATTTTCTTACGAAATGATAGAGAATCTTTTTCCGATTGTAATGACACCAAAAGAACGAAGTTTGATGGAAAACTGACGGAATTATGCTCTCGCGAAGTTAGCAACCTCGGCGATGTTTACGAATCGGTGATTTCGCCCAATTTGAGCTCTATTTTTGGCTAATTCCATTGTTCCAGTTGACCAAACTCAAAGCTATTTCTTTAGAACTCCATTTTTCTATCGATTGAGTACAAGAAACTGCCCATTTACTGATTTCAACTACCCAATAATGTGGTCAGAAATTTGCAATTTGCCAATTTCACGAAAATTAAAAAAAAAATGACAATTTCAAAATAGGATCCAGAATGAACAATGCAGACATTCCTGGCTCTAAAATAACATTTTCTTTATTCATCAGTCACATCTCCAGGCCCCTCTGATATTACTCTTGTTTTCTATTTTGAATTTTTATTCAAACTAAAAACAGAAGATTTACTGTTATGCAGGCTACTGCAATATTGTAATAATTGTATAAATAATGTCAATCCATTCATGACTGCATATTAGAATGGCTACTTGGACATTTATTGGAAAATGACATCATTTGTTTACTTTTGAACAGTGGCAAAAATCAAACATTTCCCATACTTTGAGCTCCATTTCAAGGTTCTTTTCATAGTAAAACCAATCAAAATCACTTCTATTTCTATAATATGTTTTCCATTCTATGAAATGAGACCAAGAAAACAAGAATACTATACGAAAATAGACCACAAAGTCGGCATTTTAATTAAAAAAAAAAAACGGTAGGAGTTTTTTTTTCTCATTATGCACTGCGTGCTGAAGGATCATTATCCAGTCATGAAAGCCCACTAATATTGCAATCATAAGGATAATACTGCATGGATTGAGAGAGAATGAGACTACAACCAAAGAAAATTTTTTTAGTGAAGAGACTGCCCTTTGAACAGTATTATATTTTGCTTACCTAATATCTCTCCAGCACCAATAAACATTCCTGAAAGTCCTACAAGGCGTTTTGGATCAGGAAATCTAAGGGTTGAACTCAAACAAGCACTATAAACTCCACTGAAGAATGACAGTTCAATTCCTGGAATTCAAAACACAAGATGAATTTATCTCCTTCAAACTCGTACTACATTACTAAGTGTATTAATCTTATTTTCCTATCAGTAAATCAATATAATGTTTGATTAAAAGAACTATATGCTAATTACTGTATTTTATGAATAAATATTGTTCATGCTCCAGGCGGATGTCCTGTATAGCATATCTGTATCACTGTAATAATAATAATATAATAATATAATAATATAATATAATAATAATAATAATATAATATAGTAGGTAATTTTGGGGTGCCAGGGGTAAATGTAAATAGGGAGCCTTTAATTGAGCTATGTGTAGAAAGAAATTTGGTAATAAGTAATACATATTTTATGAAAAAGAGCATAAATAAATATACAAGGTATGATGTAGCACGTAATGAAAGTAGTTTGTTAGATTATGTATTGGTGGATAAAAGGTTGATGGGTAGGCTCCAGGATGTACATGTTTATAGAGGGGCAACTGATATATCGGATCATTATTTAGTTGTAGCTACAGTTAGAGTAAGAGGTAGATGGGAAAAGAGGAAGGTGGCAACAACAAGTAAGAGGGAGGTGAAAGTGTATAAACTAAGGGAGGAGGAAGTTCGGGCGAGATATAAGCGACTATTGGCAGAAAGGTGGGCTAGTGCAAAGATGAGTAGTGGGGGGGTTGAAGAGGGTTGGAATAGTTTTAAAAATGCAGTATTAGAATGTGGGGCAGAAGTTTGTGGTTATAGGAGGGTGGGCAGGAGGAAAGAGGAGTGATTGGGGAATGATGAAGTAAAGGGTGTGATAAAAGAGAAAAAGGTAGCTTACGAGAGGTTTTTACAAAGCAGAAGTGTTATAAGAAGAGCAGAGTATATGGAGAGTAAAAGAAAGGTGAAGAGAGTGGTGAGAGAGTGCAAAAGGAGAGCAGATGAAAGAGTGGGAGGCACTGTCAAGAAATTTTTTGAAAATAGGAAAAAATTTTGGAGTGAGTATAAACAAGTTAAGAAAGCCTAGGGAAAGTATGGATTTGTCAGTTAAAAACAGAGTAGGGGAGTTAGTAGAGGGGGAGAGGGAGGTATTAGGTAGATGGCGAGAATATTTGAGGAAACTTTTAAATGTTAAGGAAGAAAGGGAGGCGGTAATTTCATGCACTGGCCGGGGAGGTATACCATCTTTTAGGAGTGAAGAAGAGCAGAATGTAAGTGTGGTGGAGGTACGTGGGGCATTACGTAGAATGAAAGGGGGTAAAGCAGCTGGAACTGATGGGATCATGACAGAAATGTTAAAAGCAGGGGGGGATATAGTGTTGGAGTGGTTGGTACTTTTGTTTAATAAATGTATGAAAGAGGGGAAGGTACCTAGGGATTGGCGGAGGAGCATGTATAGTCCCTTTATATAAAGGAAAGGGGACAAAAGAGATAGTAAAAAATTATAGAGGAATAAGTTTACTGAGTATACCCGGAAAAGTATACGGTAGGGTTATAATTGAAAGAATTAGAGGTAAGACAGAATGTAGAATTGCGGATGAGCAAGGAGGCTTCAGAGTGGGTAGGGGGTGTGTAGATCAAGTGTTTACATTGAAACATATATGTGAACAGTATTTAGATAAAGGTAGGGAAGTTTTTATTGCATTTATGGATTTAGAAAAGGCATATGATAGAGTGGATAGAGGAGCAATGTGGCAGATGTTGCAAGTATATGGAATAGGTGGTAAGTTACTAAATGCTGTAAAGAGCTTTTATGAGGATAGTGAGGCTCAGGTTAGGGTGTGTAGAAGAGAGGGAGAATACTTCCCGGTTAAAAAGTAGGTCTTAGACAGGGATGGTAATGTCACCATGGTTGTTTAATATATTTATAGATGGGGTTGTAAAAGAAGTAAATGCTAGGGTGTTCGGGAGAGGGGTGGGATTAAATTATGGGGAATCAATTCAAAATGGGAATTGACACAGTTACTTTTTGCTGATGATACTGTGCTTATGGGAGATTCTAAAGAAAAATTACAAAGGTTAGTGGATGATTTTGGGAGAATGTGTGTAAAGGTAGAAAGTTGAAAGTGAACATAGAAAAGAGTAAGGTGATGAGGGTATCAAATGATTTAGATAAAGAAAAATTGGATATCAAATTGGGAGGAGGAGTATGGAAGAAGTGAATGTTTTCAGATACTTGGGAGTTGACGTGTCGGCGGATGGTTTTATGAAGGATGAGGTTAATCATAGAATTGATGAGGGAAAAAAGGTGAGTGGTGCGTTGAGGTATATGTGGAGTCAAAAAACTTTTATCTATGGAGGCAAAGAAGGGAATGTATGAAAGTATAGTAGTACCAACACTCTTTTTATGGATGTGAAGCTTGGGTGGTAAATGCAGCAGCGAGGAGACGGTTGAGGGGAGTGGGAGATGTCCTGTCTAAGGGCAATGTGTGGTGTAAATATTATGCAGAAAATTCGGAGTGTGGAAATTAGGAGAAGGTGTGGAGTTAATAAAAGCATTAGTCAGAGGGCAGAAGAGGGGTTGTTGAGGTGGTTTGGTCATTTAGAGAGAATGGATCAAAGTAGAATGACATGGAAAGCATAAAATCTATAGGGGAAGGAAAGAGGGGTAGGGTCGTCCTCGAAAGGGTTGGAAAGAGGGGGTAAAGGAGGTTTTGTGGGTGAGGGGCTTGGACTTCCAGCAAGCGTGCGTGAGCGTGTTAGATAGGAGTGAATGGAGACGAATGATACTTGGGACCTGACGATCTGTTTGGAGTGTGAGCAGGGTAATATTTAGTGAAGGGATTCAGGGGAAACCGGTTATTTTCATATAGTCGGACTTGAGTCCTGGAATGGGAAGTTACAATGCCTGCACTTTAAAGGAGGGTTTGGGATATTGGCAGTTTGGAGGGATATGTTGTGTATCTCTATACATATATGCTTCTAAACTGTTGTATTCTGAGCACCTCTGCAAAAGCAGTGATAATGTGTGAGTGTGGTGAAAGTGTTGAATGATGATGAAAGTATTTTCTTTTTGGGGATTTTCTTTCTTTTTTTTTGGGTCACCCTGCCTCGGTGGGAGACGGCCGACTTGTTGAAAAAAAAAAAAAAAAAAAAAAATCTTTATTTACTACAAGTACATGTATACAGGTATACAGACCTAGCTGACATCAATGACATACTACTATATAGAAAGCTGCTTGTTATGCAGAGCATTTCATTCAAATTAGGTCAGTTTTGTCTGAGGATGCAACCTACACCAGTTGAATAACACCCAGGTACCATTTTACTGATGGGTGAACACAGACAACAGGTGCAAAGAAACACATCCAATGTTTCCACCCTTTTGCTGGGAATCGAACCTAGACCCTCACCGTGTGAAGAGAGAGCTTTTGCCACCAGGCCATGGGGTCTGGATTTTTGAAGGGAGCAAATTTTAGATGCAACAGAAATCAGCAAATAAAGTTTAGTTGCGTAAATCATTATTTCTACTATAGAAAAAATATTACATATCAAAAACTGGTTACTTAACATAAAAAATTATCTGGTACACAAAATATTTCATCTCTTCAACTTTATAAATCTATGTATTGTACTGCACTGTACTCAATGCTGACACCAAGGGGGTCCTTGGGGCCTCAGCTCCACAAATAAAAATAGTAATAATAATAATGCTGCTTCATAACACGTTTCCTAGCTCCCTTTCCGTAGCTCAATCATTAGCGCACTCAGCTCACGCACTCTGGTTCAGGGGTCAATCCCCTGTATGGCTGGAAACATTAGGCCGTGCTTCCTTGAGATACCTGCTGTCCATTGTTCACCCATCAGTAAAATGGGTACCTGGGTGTTAGTGGACTGGTGTGGGTTGCATCCTGAGACAAAATTGACTTAATTTGCTCAAAATGCTCTGCATAACAAGGAGCTCTCTATGTGTGTAGTAGTATGTCACTGATGTCAGATAGGCCTGTATAACTTGTACATGTACTTGTAGAAATAAAGATTATTATTATTATTACTACAGATAGCCACACCTTAGCCCCTCAGTGCAGAAATTGGTGCTCCCCTGACTCTGCAGAAAAAAAACAACAGTTTTTGGCAAATAATGCAAGTCAGGAAAAAACAATTTAATTTCTGATACGTAATGTATTTCTTAATGATGTAATGTAAACTTATTCAATTAAAGTTATATATTTAATTCGCACTTGCAAGACTGTCAAATGATATATGTACCTGAAAAAATAGTTACATTCATGAACCAAAATCAACGATATTAACATTTAAGATTTTTTTAAATATAGCACATTTTTATTTTAACAAATAAATTACGGGTAATGTGATCATACCGTACTAATTTATCCTGTACTCTGTATGAGTTATTGTGTAATTTTAATAATTAACATGAAGATAAAATTATTAACCTGTATTTGAAAAATGTTGCAGAAAAAAAGAATCATGTCCTTTGTTTTGAAGGATTGAAAGACTTTTTCAAAGCCTCAAAGGGACTGCCTAGACTTTCATCAGCACGACCACTGCCATCTGCGCCAGGTTTTGGTAACAAACACATAATGCCAATACCGATGATACCAACAACTGTCAGAGCCGAAAACACAATAGTCCGTGTATGATGGTCAATAACATCTTTGCCCATGAATTGGTAGAATACAAAGAGGTTGCCAAATAACATGCTGGAAAATAGAGAAATTATTTTTACTCTTTAATATTCAGATACAGTATTACCAGAATCTACAAAACAATCTGTCTGTCTGTTTGCCTGAAAGTTTGCTTGCTCTTCCTTGCCCTACCTGCCCTTCCTTGGCTTACCTGCCCTATCTTGCCATGTTTGCTGTGGTCTGCCTGCTTGCTTGTATTAAATGGAAGGATGGTGGAGGGTGTTGGGAGTAGGAGGTAGGAGTTGGTAGTTTGGAGTGAGGGAAGGAGACCATATGTGTGGCCAGGGAGACAGCAGCAAGAGTATTATTATTAAGTCTACAATTCTTTACCAATTTGCCTGCCTGCATGTCTGTCTGTCTGCCTGTGTCTGTCTTTGTCTGTCTGTCCATCTGTCTGCCTGCCTGCCTGCCTGCCTGCCTGCCTGCCTGCCTGCTTGCCTGCCTGCTTACCTGCAAGCCTGCCTGCCTGCCTGCTTACCTGCAAGCCTGCCTGCCTGCATGTCTGGGTGGCAATGCCTCTGAATATTTCAAGTTGCAGCCTATGTTTGTTTATCACTTAGACAACCCCAGAGTGTTTAAACAACAAAAAGAGTAAGGGAAGGTTGGGTGTGTTCTGGCATCTTGGAATGAATTTCTATAAAACCATGGAGTTTGAGATACGATACGTCTTCTGGAATGGATTAATATCCAAACTCGAAGGGTTGCTGTGTTACAATAACCACACAACTCTAGTAATGTTTGAGTTTTCTTATGATTTTATGGGATCTTTCCTTAAGGTGCTCTTCCAGTTTCTCCCTCTAGGATGCTTGCCACCTGCTCATCACTAATTCTTTGTAGTGCAGATGTACTCTATATTCATTTTATAATTCCATCATTTATCACCATATCCTAACAATTCAGGCATGTGGAGATCTCCCTTAGTGCACTGTACAATAGTTCTACAAACTGTAAACTGGGTACAATGTGTGATTTTCTTTGCTGTCCCATAAACAAATTTTTTTATTGTTTATTCCTTCCCATTTACTAATATAAATGCATACATTTTTTAATTGTAATTTTCTAGTCTGAATTTAGGAGTTATTCTTTGTCCATTCTTTTATGAAAAAAAAGAAGGGAGGAAGAGAAAGCTAAACATGGAGATGTACTAACTTTTTAAAAAATGGAAAAAAGGAAAATATGGAATGATATTACAAAGGAATGGAAGGATATTACATAGGAATACAGATAAAGTCATAACACAAATAAGTCTAGGGAAAACAAGAAAATTGGCACTGTTATACGATTGAGTATGGTTCTAGAAGCCCAATAAATATTTTTCAGGCAGTACAGTCCACAGGATCATTGCACAATTTGTTATTTTCATTTCATGGGCAGAGTAATGGACATAAGACCTATCTGATGTATTGTGTCAAAGAGAGCCCATATGTTATCAGATTTCTTGTATAAAATGTGATTTGGGCAATAGTAGGGACCTTCATAAAATCTTATGTACAGTACAAGTCCAGGTTTGGAAGAAATGCACACCTTGCACAATTTATAAATAAAATGTCACACAGACAGCATTAATGGTATCATACCTGTTACCAGTTTCAAGGGTTCTTCTACCTCTGCTGCTTGGCCTGAGGCCAGCTGTCCTTGTTGATTGCCTGGTCCATCAAGCTCTTTGTGTTATCAGCCCTTAAATATCTTCAATGTATATTTTATCAGATATCTTTCTTTTCTCTGTTGCAGAAAGAATAATCCAAATTTTTTGAGGCGTTCCTAACAGTTAAGATGTCTTATTGATTCTATATACAATAAAGAACCTCTGTATTTTTTCCAGCTCTGCTATCTCTCCTGCCTTGTAAAGCACTGTGAGCACAGAACAACATTCAAGTTGTGAGAGCACATGTGATTTAAAAAGAACCATCAGTGGTATTGCTTTTTCTATTTTGAAAGTTCTCATTATCCACCCAGTCATTTTCTTGCCCTTTGCTGAATTTGCATTATTGTGTTTTACAAATGACAAGATTCTTTGACATAATTATTCCGAAGTCTTTTACCTGTTCCTTATTCTCTATTACATGGTCTTCCTGCATTCTGATTAACTGGCTCATTAGAACCTAAAATAATTAGGCATCATTTATTCAAACACTGTCTTGTCAGAAAACATTATAGTTCAGGTGGCCCTCCAAACTACATCCTCACTCCTTGTTTAGAGTGTAGGCACTGTGCTTCTTACCTCCAGGACCAATTCCAAGCTAACTGGTTTCCCTGAATAGCTTCACAGATATATAAATGGAAATTTGTAGTACTGTACTGTAATGCAAATGATTTAGATCAAGATGTACATGCTAGAGAGAGACAGAGAAAAAAAAATATTGGCTTATTTTAATTAGGTTCTTTTTTTAAAGTGCTGAACTATGACTGAAACTGAGCTTAAATCTACATTTAGGTATAATGTACTGTATACAAAAACTATTGCTAATAAATATTCTAAAAAATCAGTCAACAACAGCACACCTGCTTTGAAGCATAGCCCAGAAGATTCCAGAGTTGCGAGACATTGTCTTCTGAGTGGACATGAGAGTGAGATAATTTCCCTGACCAGTCCAGATCAATGCAGCTCCAGCACCCACCAAAACAGATGTTAAATAGAGAATAACTGTTTGAGGCCACAAGAATCCAGCGATGAATATTCTGTGAACGATATAAATGCTTAAATAATGAAGCTTTAAAAATATAATAAAAATAATAATATTATTATTATAATCAAGGGGGAAGCGCTAAACCGGAGGATTATACAGCGCCTGGAAAATGTTGAAGTTAATAATAATCTGACACAATAATACCGAGATATTACATCAGTATCTTTAATGGTCGACAGAACCAAGTTCAATACATGGCCGTAATATGGGTGGATGACAGCACATTCTCAAAATTATTCAAATCTATTAGCTCCAAGAACTCATACAGAAAGGGTTTTTCTTGAGGACAATCTATCCCATAATCAGTCCATACACACAAGAGGATGACCACTCTTTATTGCAAACACTATATATACTGTATGCACATGTATGTAGACAGACAAAAGTCACTAGACATTCAACTTCACTTTTGTTACTATGCTGTTATATTAGGTGTACATGTATTTGGTCTCTCTGTCTGTAACATCACAACCCACTTAACCCTTCCACTGTCTTTTACATAGATCTCCGTTAATGACACCAGTGTTGCTCACGTAGAACTACATTTTAAGCACAGCGCCCTCAAATATGCTGTGAGTGGTAAATTTTGGTATAAACATGAGGGAATGGGTCTGTGAGGTGTATGTGCACAAAAAAAAAAAAAAAATCCTGCCCCATGTGGTGTACGGTTTAAAATAGCACTTTGAGGTGTTTTCTAGCATGTTTTATGGTTTTATTGGCTGTTTCTTGGTATCAATTGATAGAATGAAAGACACACCATTGAATTAGAGACAATTTTGGTCAGTTTCAGAACCTGAAACAGCTTGAAATATGGTTCAAAGTAGCAGAAATATTTTATTTTTTGACAATCTTCCTGAGGAAGGGTAAGGCCCCCCTAAACCCCAATCACGTTTTTGAAGTTTATACTAGGTCTGCTTCAATTATTGAGATGTTAAATTAAACCCTGACTAATCAATCCTGATTATATTTTATCAGCTGAGAAATAGGGTAAAACCAATTTTTTGCATCTACCTGCCTACCTGGAGTTTACCTGGAGGGTGTTCTGAAGGTCAACACCCCTGTGGCCCAGTCCTTGACCAGGCCTCCCAGTGGATCAGGGCCTGATCAACCAGGCTGTTACTGCTGACTGCACGTAGTCCAACGGTGCCCAGTGGCCTGGTGGCAAAAGCTCTCGCTTCACATGGTGAGGGTCCAGGTTCGATTCCCAGTGAAGGGGTGGAAATATTGGATGTGTTTCCTTACACTGGTTGTCTATATTCACCCATCAGTAAAATGGGTACTTGGGTGTTAGTCGACTGGTGTGCATCACATCCTGGGACACAACTGACCTAATTTTCCCAAAATGCTCTGCATAACAAACGGCTTTCTATATACAGTGGTACCTTGACTTACGAGTGCCCCAACTTACGAGTTTTCTAAGTTACGAGCCATCACTCGGTCGATTTTTTGCTTTGACTTGCAAGCCAAAATCCGAGTTACGAGTGAGCTTCAGATTTGCCGCCATCAATTGGCAGTGTATCTGAAGTCAAATAAAACTCTGTACCCAGAGGAATGTCACGTACTTTGCCCCATCCCACATGCTCTTCCAAGACATAACTGGAAGGATAATACTCCCACAGAAATCCCAGATTGTAGTGAGGCACCTTGTCCCTTGTTTGGTTCTTGCATAAATCCGGGGAAGAGGTAACCTCCATTTCAACAGAGTTTTTCCAGAAACATTAATTAAAGTGGGTGGAGTAGTGATGGTGGTCAGTGGAGTAGTGATGGTGGTGGGTGGAGTAGTGATGGTGGTGGGTGGAGTAGTGATAGTGGGGGTGGAGTAGTGATGGTGGTGGGTGGGGTAATAATAATGGGTGCAGTAATGATGGTGGTGGGTGGAGAACTGATAGTGGAGGGTGGAGTAGTGATGGTGGTGGGTGGAGTAGTGATGGTGGTGGGTGGAGTAGTGATGGTGGTGGATGGAGTAGTGATAATGATGGGTGGAGTAGTGAGAGTGGTGGGTGTAGTAGAGATGGAGGTGGGTGGAGTAATGAAGGTGGTAGGTGGAGTAGAGATGGTGGTGGGTGGAGTTTACCTGGAGTTTACCTGGAGAGAGTTCCGGGGGTCAACACCCCCGCGGCCCGGTCTGTGACCAGGCCTCCTGGTGGATCAGAGCCTGATCAACCAGGCTGTTACTGCTGGTTGCACGCGGAGTAGTGAGGATGGTGGGTGGAGTAGTGAGGGTGGTGGGTATAGTAGAGATGGTGGTGGGTGGAGTAGTGAAGGTGGTGGGTGGAGTAGAGATGGTGGTGTATGGAGTAGTGATAATGATGGGTGTAGATATGGTGGTGGGTGGAGTAGTGAGTGTAGTAGAGATGGAGGTGGGTGGAGTAATGAAGAAGGTGGGTGGAGTAGTGAGGGTGGTGGGTGGAGTAGTGAGGGTGGTGGGTATAGTAGAGATGGTGGTGGGTGGAGTAGTGAAGGTGGTGGGTGGAGTAGAGATGGTGGGGTGGAGTAGTGAGGGTGGTGGATGGAGTAGTGATAATAGTGGATGGAGTAGATATGGTGGTAGGTGGAGCATACAATATTTCTTATTTATAAATACAATTTTCTTGTTAAAAAAATCCGTAACAAAAAAATTGTGGTGGGTTTTTTGGGGCTGGAATGGATTAATGGCATTTCAATTAATTTCAATGAGGAAAATTGATTTGATATACGAGCAAATTGAGTTACGAGCCAGGGGTCTCTTGGTAAATCCCCTTATGCCTGATGGGGGGGGGGGCCCTGTTGAACAGTCTTGTGCAGAGTTAGGTATTAAGGGGGGAAAAGTGTAATACAGGAGAGGCCTGAGGACATGATTACTGAACAGAGGATAGGTTGCTTTAGTTGCTGAAACTCGTATTGTTAATTCTGGATTCTGTTTTTAAATTGGAATTTGTTGAATTTTGTGTAAAACTGTCCAAATTATTGGGTTCTGCGCACTTTAAAGAGTAATTCTGATAATTGAATGGGTTGTTCATTGTATGCAATCGATAGAATGGAAGGAATACCCACGAAACAGCTAGGAATTGGATTGAATTGAACAATAGAATTGTGATGAATGGTTTGAAAAACCGACAAGTTGAAGATTGAGACACTTATGCAGCATATGGGAATCTTTATTCAGGAAACGTTTCGCCACACAGTGGCTTCATCAGTCCAATACAAAGAGGAAGGCGTAAGGAGAGGAGGAGTATGAGGTAATCAGTCCCTCAGCCTGGAGTCGATGTGTTCAGTCCATCAATCTTGTAGAATGTGACTGAATGGACTGAACACATCGACTCCAGGCTGAGGGACTGATTACCTCATACTCCTCCTCTCCTTACGCCTTCCTCTTTGTATTGGACTGATGAAGCCACTGTGTGGCGAAACGTTTCCTGAATAAAGATTCCCATATGCTGCACAAGTGTCTCAATCTTCAACAATAGAATTGCCGTAAAATAGGACTCAGAGTTTCCAAAATCGAGGTTGCGTAAATTCCAGCCACTGTCAACTTTGCACCTGCGTAATTCCATAAATTTTCCACCAAATTTTGCAGTTTTGGAGTCATTACTTTCAGAAAAAAGTTTCTTTTCCATTTCTGAAGAGTTTGTTTAAATTCTCAAAATTGTGCCACTTTTAATTTCAAGGGTCCCATAGGTGAAAGGGTTAAATCACTAAATTTTCATTAGTTACAGCATGAAAGAAATGTATGGTACAAGAAAATGTACGAAGTGCTGTATTTTACGGCAGATGACGTCTTCCCTTTCAACTGACGTGTGGTAGAACACCTGGAGAGAAGTGGTTTCATAAACAATAACCAGCATGTGATGGAACATCTTGTCTTGTTAGTTTTATGACGGAGAGGGTTGGGTGGATTTCACTTTTTAAGACTGCAGATAGGCGTTTGATACTGTACCCCATAAGAGAATGGACCAAAAACTTAAGACTTCGGTGGGAATAACAGAGAACATACTCTGTTGTTTCAAAAAGTATCTTCAGAAAGACAGTAAAAGTGCAACTGTCTGGTAAGAAATGCCCTCTCAAGGGAGGTTCCTTGATGCTGGTGAGGGGCACTTGATCTAGCGAATTGGATTTGTGCTTCGGTCCATGAATTGAGTCTGAATACCTTCCATCCTTCCCCACATGCGCTGTATAATCCTACGGGTTTAGGGCCCCCCATGATGATGATGATGATGATGATGATGATGATAATAATAATAATAATAATAATAATAATAATAATAATAATAATAATGGTACTGTGGAAAATACTGTATATATTTTCCAGAAATACAGTAGTTATATGTATATAGATGGCCATACTGTATTTAATAATATTTATGTCATAGAAAACGGAAAGCCTGCATCTGCGCAGACGAGACTCGCCATCTTGGTTTTTGAATTTGGGTTACAAATGTTGGTGTAATGGGAAGAATTTTTCGTGCTCTAGAGGTTAAAACTGGGTTGACACCTCTCAAATAGGAGGCAAAATTGGTGGATGTGCATTCCTGCATAACTTGAGATATCAGGCAACTGGACAAGACAGCTCCAGGAACCTCAGATAAGTCTGTTTTATGTTTAATTCTGGCCAGTATTTTCATAAATTTAGACAGTGAGGTTTTCTGAGTATGATACACCTTAATCTCCAGTCAAATTGGTGAGTGATATTAAGATATTCTCTTTCTGTTATGTAATTGTGTATATCTATAATTATTTTTTAATTTTAATATACAGTCCACAAATTTATATTTTTTACCAGCTTTCCCTGGTGATGTATTTTTCTTTTGATAATTAATAGGTCCAGAGCAACTTGTGGATATGACAGTGGTAGAATATCAAAGGGGGGGAAAATTTTCGACCTAGGGTCCCAAATTTCCTACTTGTCTATGTAACCCTGATAAATAATAATTATCTTTGTTATCATTTACTGTTATGTACATAATGAGTTACATTCAGATAAATGCAATTTTCCACATTTAATTTGCCTGTTGG